GAACTAATTCCTGTAAATGACAAGTACATTCATTTTAAATTAATATCACTGAAGGTCAACCCCATGTACATATGTAGGATGTGTGTGTTTAGTGAGCCACGAGTTGCATTCTATCAGAAATCACCAGCTTAGCTCATTCAGTAAAGTGATCATGCATCCACACAGTTCATCGATCTTAAAATGATTAGTATGAATCTAGGTTGTTGCTGCTCCAAAGAAAATGTCTCATTTTTTAAATTGTGAGGAGAAAGTTGTATTCTCCACTTGTATCATGGGAGAACAACCTAGTTCTGAAAAAAATGTTTTTAAAGCGCGCTGGTTGTCGCATGTTCGAATTTAATTTAAATAAACAATGTATTTTACATGCATTGTATACGTCGCTATGAGTCCATATCGAACAGAAAGTGACACAACGACTGCAACCCTTTAATAAACAGTTTTCTAGTAAACTGGCATTGTTTAGAACTAAGAAAAAAAGTACTCTCTTCATCAGAAGGCAAAGAGTAGTACAACTGTATTGTTTAACCTTAAAAAGAAAACGTTCTTGTTGAAAAAAAAAGACAAGTGATATGAAGGAGTCTTTAATACCGAAATAGTGCCCTCATGAAATAATCTGTACATAAAAATATCTTATTTAACATTCAATTTGTATGAAAACCTGTCCACACTTACATGAAGTATATTTGCTGTGAACTATTACCAAAGCCTGATGTATATAAAACCCATAAAAGGTAAATTGGGAGTAAACAGTGCTGAAAACGTACCTATTATTGTTGCGACACATGAAATATACAGGTATGTACATGAGGTAAAATAGTCCCTTATAAATTCGTTTTTTCAGAATTGTTTTTTAATTAAAAGACATCCAAAGTACCCCCTACCCCACCCATAGTAGCAAAACATATGCTATAAGAATTCAAATTGTAAAAGTATTTTCAGAGTAAATGAGCCACCATCGTGTGAAGCTGTGTAGTACAATGTAAAGCAACATCAAAGTTGTTTCTGCTTAATGTTCATTTCTTCTAAACGCTAGAAACAAGTTGCTGTATTTAGCTTTCCTATAAATACCAACAAACAGAAAATCTTGACAAAAAGCAAATGAAAAGTGTGAAAAATCACCTTGGACTCTTTGAATCATTTATATATGTATCTCAATGTTAGAAATACATTTAAAGATGTCGCAAAAGTCGCACAAAAATGCCATGGATTTGGATATTTAAAATGCTGCATTTTTGCGGTTGTAACCAACATTTACATATCCTTAAGGTAGAAGTCTACTCATAAATTAAAAAACAGAATTTATTCATTTTGCAATGAATTGTACGCCAAGGCAATATAAGGACATTGACCTAAAAAAAGTTGGGGGTCACCAGCATTTTTTTCAAGAAATTGATGGTTGTATTTTAGTGGAAAGTCGCCATTTTGACACTATTATAACACTTACCACAGGTTCCTATGGCAGAGATATTATGCAATATCTCAAAATCTAACCTGGTGACATGCGTTGAAAAAATCATATATTGTTAATGATGGAGTACCTTATGTTGTTCTGAATTATTTAATAAATCTGGGTTTTAGAAAGTGTCAAAACATGAAATTTTTCTTTAACATTGTGTTCTATGGAATTGCAATAGCAATTTTCAAGAAACATTAGGACACGTTTCTCAAAAAGCTCAACTGTAACGCACAAAATAATGCTATTTAATTCTACCATGAGACATTAGCTTCATGATTGTACATAATAAACTAATGAACATTGTTATACGATTTATGACGAACTTTGTCAAAAATTGATGACTAGGCTTCTACCTTAAAATGTCAGGTTAGCCAATCATTGGACATACCAGAAAGTACTTTACACAGGGTCACCATTCCCAACCCACACATGTACAAGGAATCTTAATTTTAATAACTTAACTCCCATGACCACACACCCAGACAATTTTTGGGGTACCGGGTAAGTTACTTTTACGAGTTCTATGATGTAACCAATCCATTCAAGGAACAAATGACTTGCTTCAATTTACTTTTTCTCAACAATATATAATACTGTATACTGGTCTATACATGCATACTTTTTAGTCAATTAATAATAAGTACACCATGAAGTCAATCATGATAAAACAGTTTTACACTCTGTAACTCTTAGAGGATGATGACTTTGATTTAACACCAGTACTGAGCATTTGTGCAATATATGCTTCTTGTTTAAGTTGAATGTCCATTTCTGACAGTTGTTGTTTGTGGTTCTCTTTCTGTTTTACTAACTTCTCTTTGAGATCATTGATGGCTGCATCCTTAGCTGATAGTACATCTTCCTGTTCCTCACATTGGGCTTCAATCTCTGTCAATGGTAAAAGTACTAAGTTATTTTAACGTTGACAAAATGTGTGTATCTACCCAGTGTAATGTAATACAGGCGAGATTGAAAATACTACTGAATATGTTTTCATTATCAGCTCTATAAGATTGTCTGGAGTTTGCGATAACTACAGAATTAGGTAAATAAGTTCCATATACCCATATTTAAATTGTTTTCACAAAATTCTTTTTAAAATTTCTTTGTGAATTTGCAGAACAAGCAGAAATGCAATCAAAAACATTACTTGACAAAAGTACAATACAGTGGAAGTTTGTGTTATGCACTGTAATGTGATATTTGCACATCACCTGTTAATGTTAAATTTCCTATTCATCTATTTTATATTTTCAACCAATCTAGTTTTTCAGAACTCTAGCATTAATCTAGTGAATTCTTTTTATGTAAAATCTGCCTGATATACTGTGTAGGAATCATTATATAAAAATCGACAGAGAGCCAGTCAAAGCAATCTTTGAACAAAAGCCTAGGTTTTTTGTTATTCAGCAGTAACGTGTTTGGAAAATCTGCCAGTGTGTGGGAAATCTTGCTGTAGTATGTGAAAAATCTTCTACAGTATGTGGAAAACCTGCTATAGTGTGTGGAGAATCTTGCTGTAGTATGTGGAAAATCTTCTGCAGTGTGTGGAAAACCTGCTATAGTGTGTGGATAATCTTCTACTGTATGTGGAAAACCTGCTATAGTGTGTGGAGAATCTTCTACAGTATGTGGAAAACCTGCTATAGTGTGTGGAGAATCTTCTACAGTATGTGGAAAACCTGCTATAGTGTGTGGAGTCTTCTACAGTATGTGGAAAACCTGCTATAGTGTGTGGAGAATCTTCTACTGTATGTGAACAAATGTGCTGCAAAGGTTTCATGGATACATACCTGCACATTTATTGACAAGTTTTTCATTCTTAGATGTCTCTTTCAAAGCTTTACTCTTCACTTGAGATATTCTGTGAATTGTAAATAAGACGTGTAAATATAACAAGCTTGTTAATGTTAAGAGTTTAACAGAAATCGTAGCCTCTCTTATTAAAACTACCGGTACTATACAAATATGAACAGTAAAATACCCTCAGTGAAATCAATATTGCATTTCTGAGGAACTTTCAAATATTATTATTAATTGTATACAAAGAAACAATCAAGTTAAAATAAACACTATTCCTAAAGTGTGTACAAGGAAAATTGTTTAAAGCGTTATGTTCAATACAGTTTCATAAAAGTTTTTTGAAATTGCTGATACTTTGTGAAAATATTTGATTGCTGTTATACATGGCCATATGTTGAGAGCAAAAAATCAAGTCAGTCCAAATTTTTGAGATAAACATGTTATTACACTGATTACGGAGCTAACGCTTTGGACTCTATTGGGGGAAAATAGAATAACATTACCCTTTTGAAGCATTAAAGAAAAAAAATATGCAACTGAAGGAGGCTGTTATGATTCATTGCACAATGACAACATTCCCATTTCTTAAAAGAAATTGGCAACTGAAAATCAAATGAAAATGGTTCATTAAAATAATTGAAATAATCGGATGGGACTGTACGGATGAAGAGTGTGATCAGATGGGAAGAGCATGCAATATGTCAAAGGTCAAAATCCGGCATGACAAGATCAATCTATACTTACGCTTGTTCAAATGTACTCTTCTCCCTTTCTAGTTGCTTGGTTAATATTTCAATTTCTCCCAAAGCAAACTGTAATTTGTCTGATTCGCTGAGTAGTTTTGATTTCGTCTTAGCATGTGCTATCTTTTCATCCTATAGGATAAAAGTGGTGAATACAATAGTAGACATTACATACAGTACATTAAGCAGCAAAAGCCTGTATAAATCAGGTCATGTGTAAACAGGAAACCTGCCTATACTGAACACCTAATGTGAACAATTTTCTTTGTATCTTCGCTTTGGTTCATACAGTAAGGTATGAAGAATGTCAATACAGTATTCAAGTATATCATAGATTACATTTTACTTGTATATTTTAAAAATTAAACAATGTTTTAGTTTTTCCATGATATAATTTCATTGGTCTTTGTTTTCTTCGAAATATAGTTTTATAATATTCACTGAAATATTTCCGTATAAACTTTTAACTTTTAGAAATAACCTGGTATTTGCAAAATAGACATGAGCTCAAAGCCCATAAGGACCTTGGTGCCTTTCATATCATTGTGTGTAGGCAAAGATTTGTTAGACTTGGGTGCTTTTTAAATATAATATACCTGCTCCCCCAAATACTGTGTTAACTGGAAAGAGCTGTGTTGCAAATTTGCTATATGTTTCTGGAGCCACATCCACCCAAATTATTCATCTTTTACCCAGATCAACTGGCAAACAGTCCAGTTACAGTAGTGTATGCCTAGCTCGTACAAAGCTGAAATGACAGATGAGCCATTCATAAGGCGTTCCTGTCCTCACTGTAACATACATGTCCAATACACACAAAATACACATGGGCGACAGTATTTGAGATGCACTTCTAAATATAAGTTAATAAATAAAGCTTACTTCAAGTTGTTTTAACAGTTTTTCATACTGATCTTTTGGTATCATATCATTTGCTATGGACTCCATCTGGTATACAAATAAACAGAGTGCAAGTTAGTAACAATTTTTGGGGGAATTTAACAAGTGGATATTGGTTAACAGGTTAAACAGAGTGGTTGTTTGTTGTTGTAAATGGCACAAGGTAGCACACAAGTTTTGATTTGTACTATGACATAAATTTTAAAATTGTAAGATTCAGCAAGCATACATACACACATTACAGCAATTCACAATTACCATACTTCATAAACTTGAAGAAATTGTAGAAACTTGAAGTATTTAGAATTATTTGGAATGGGGGAGACAAGGTTGCAAGAAAGGTAAGGT